TATATATATATATATATATATATATATATATCCAAAAATTATTTTGAGAAGTTATAAATATTTGAGAAGTAAGGATGTGATCTTATCCTTTCATACGATCAAGATCAGATAGCGGCTTTGACTGGTCAAAAATTGCGGCTATAAAGAAAAATAGAGGGGTAGTTTTGTAACTTGTATAAATAGATGACAAACATATTCATATGTAAACCTATGTGTTTCTGTTAGACCCCAACTTATGAAAGTGTAAGTAAGAATTGTCTTACTCTAGTCAATAGGACTTAGTCTATAGAAGCTGTCTGGCTAAGAGCTCTTATACAGAAGATCAAGAACCAGAGCTCTTACTCAGAATGAAGGTTCCTTTCATACAGAGCCCACGCTCTATCTCCGTGAACACTCAAGCCTTGTGCACCAAAAAGCATAAGCGCTTGACTTAAAGCAACTACTCCAAGACCCATAGCCTCTGCATAGTACATGCAAAGCTTCTGTATGTTCATGCAGAACTTCTGGCTACCTTCTCCACGGAACGCGCACGTGTTAGCTCAGACATTCTCGTAAGCGTCTAACAGATTCAAGGCGGCTTGACCAAGTCTGCTCCGCTATTCAAGGAAAGTCAAAGATAAGGATGCAGACCAGTCAGCTCAAAGTTCAATGCCTATTTTATAGCATAGTTTGTTAGACCTAGGCGTATATAAGGAGGCTTCCGCCTCAGGTTCAAAGCACCTGAAGAAACCGACTTATACTATACACGTATTTCTATGAGATTACTTTTGTTCTTCAATTGTTCATCTTTTATAAATAAAAGCATTCGGTATATTCAAGTTTATTCACTGCTTTGCTTTCATCTTTGAATATCCTGTTTAATCATTTGAAATACATTGTTTGTTCATAATTCATATTACATAAACTGTGTTTCTGTTAATTAAGAATATCTGGGTTCCAACAATTAGTATCAGAGCCTGCTAATCAAATTCATTGATTAGTCGATCGATATCCGACTGGATTCTACTCTTAATTTTTCTTGATTATTCATTTTTAAAAGAATTTTCACTCTTATTTCTCTCGATTTTTAAAAACGTTTGCTTTTATGTAATCTGGAAACTATTTTTCAGTCGATTATCTTTCTCGTCAAAGCTTTCTTCTCAAAAAATTTAATCTAAAATGTCGTCTTCTCAATCATGGAACTCCATGTATAGTGTCGGTTCCTTGACAAAACCTCCGACTCTCATTAGGGAAGAATATCCCCAATAGAAGATCCGGATGATAAACTTCTAGAGGGTCTTGACCTAGAACTATATGAGTCAATCTTAAATGGCTCATACGTCCCTACCACCATCATACCTCGGATTCCTGTTGCTGGTGATACAGTTGAGGTACCTGCCAGGCGAGTACCCAAGCTTCGTCGCGACTGGAACGATGAAGATAAACGAAGAGTGGAAGTGGATCAAAAGGCCAAAAGACTTTTGATCATGGCACTTTCCAACGAAATCTTCCAGTCACTCAATGCGTGCGACTCAGCTAAGGATTTATGGGATCAACTGTCTAACCAGTTGGAAGGAAGCATCAAGATGAAGAAGAATCGTCGTGCCTAATGCCTGAATGAATACAATAGCTTCCAAGCACTCTCCGATGAGTCTTTAGAACAGACTTATCATCGCTTCAACACTCTGATCAACAAATGTGACGTGATCAGAACTCAAGAGGAGAACAACATGCTCTTCTTGAAGAAATTGAACACGGAATGGGGAAATCTAATGATGTCTCTCAAGGAAAACCAAGATTTGGAGCAATGGATGCTACACAATGTGTACGGGACTCTGCAGGCTCAAGAACAAGTGGTGCAGAAGGCAAAGGTCGCTCTTGGTGGACCTCTGGCTCTTATCTCTAAATCTAAAGAAACAGGATCAAACAAACCACACAGAGAACGACGACCCAAAGAAGATAGAAGAAAGGGAAAGAAGGCTCTCATCTTGGAGAGTGATGATGAAGAAGACAAAGCTTCTAGCTCTGAAGACGATGACATCAACGTCTTTGCGAAATCCTTGGCCCTGATCACTAAGGAATTCCAAAGGAAATTTGGGAAGAAGGTCTTCGACAGAAGAGGAAGACAGAATGATAGAAGCAGGGGAAAATCTTTCAAAGGAAGGAACCCTTTTCTGTTTCAAACAAGAAGGAGGAAGAGCCGTCGGACCAGAAGAAGCAAGGTGTCTGATGCTTTAGATGCGGGAAGATGGGGCACTACTCCAAAGAGTGCAGAGGCCCCTTAGTGAAAGATGAATTGTACTATAAAAATAAGTACAAGTATAATCGAACACAAAGGAGCCTCATGGYAGAACAGGAGAATTGGGTCTCTGACTCCTCGTCTGAAGAAGAAGACCAAACAAACTTCTGTGGGATGGCTGTCGAGAATGACAGAGAAGAATTTGGATCTGACTCCGACTCCCAGGTTTGTTCTATATCTGGTTATTCTCACTCTGACCTGGAAGAGAGCATCTCTGCTTTGACTAACAATTTTTTCAATTTACAGCAAAAGCTCTCTCTCGAAAAATCCAAAAGAAAATCCTTGGAAAAGGAAAAACTATTTTTTGAACGAGAGACAGAGCTATTAACTGTAGAGAAACAAGAGTTGTCAGTGGAAAACGAAAAGATTTTACAAACAAAACTATCCACTGAAACAAGTCTTAAAATAGAATGCTTAGAATTAAAAGCGGCTATAAAGAAGAAAGAAACAGAGCTTCTAGAGAAAGAGAGAGACAGATTAAACTCTGAGGCCCTAAAAGATTATTTTCAAAAGGAAAGAGAGTTCCTATACCAGAGCTTACAAAGAAATGAGCTCTTGATTAAGAAATATCAAGATGCTCAGCAGGTGTAAGAAAAAGTCAATTCTCAACAGGATAAAGCAGTAATAGGATATATAGACCT